ATAAAAGTGTATAGAACCCATATTTATATGTGAAGAAGATAAAATTATCAACTACAACATGATAAACATTAATGAATTTCTTAAAACTTATATACAAGGAAAAGACATAAACAAAACCTTTGTTTATGTATCCATCTCCATCTTGTGACGTCGCAATCAAAAGGGTTCCTTTGTATTTCTCGTACAAATGTGTGCCATCAATTTGGATTATGGGTTTACAATATTTGAAGACCTTATTGCACTGGTGAAATGTCCAAAATACCCTATGAAAGACAGTCTTATCGGTGTAAACTCGACGTTCGTCAAAACATTGGTCCGTATCAATCTTGAACACAGAACCCACATTAACTTGCGTCATGTATGTCAGCCAACCAGGCAAGAATGCATATGATTTATCCCAGTCACCAAATAACTTCACAATGTCCTTCATTTTAGCCTTCCAAGCCTTGCTGTAAGTTATGTTGTCCATACAAACGTTGTACTCTCTCTTGAATAAGAACTGATTTTAAAGATGGATCTTCCTTTAACATACCTATAAAGAAAAAAAACTCGAAGTCAACATTGTCAATATACATATTTCATTAAATAACATAAACATAACACATGTAACCAAACATCGCATAATACATACTCATAATGGCTGCACATACAACATCAGAATCCAGCTGTCTATGTTCTCGGGTAAGACCTTGGTTTAGGCAGGTGTGTTCTTTACTCCACTTACTGACCACCCAAGTATTTCCATTCTTCGACAACAATGCCCTCACATACCAGGGACAACCATCATTATGGTGTCAACACTTCATCATAAATCTATGCTCATCACTTTTTGCCACTACGGCTGTATGGTGAGCCTTCATAGAATATAATTTGACTGCATGTTGCATTTCAGATTTGCTACGAAACTCCTGATACAAATATAATGGATCCCCTAATTGCCAAACACCGTGTAAGTCATCGTCACCATACAATATCTCCGCCTCATCATTAGGGTGAGCCCAATTAATGAAGGAATAATGTGGGCTTTCGTTCCAAAATGGCTCGATCTCAGAACCTACGTCTAAATTATTACTTTTCCGTCAGTACCAACAATAACACAAAGATGAAATGTTAAATTAAAACTTTAATTTACTATCTTACCACTGCTAATTGGATCAACACGAAGTGGTGGCATAACCGGGGAACTCAGGTTTCCTGAGTTTGTGTTAGCGTCAAAATCACCCTCTACGTCAGTATATGAGGTGTCACCTAGCGGAATAACACTCTCAGCTTCACCGTCCTCATCACTGTCCATATCCTCCTCGTGCTCATCCTCATATATTTCTCTCAATGTTATTTGACTTATGACAGGTGTAACACCCCGTATATATCCGGTAATGTTATCATACTATCGTATTAAGCTGCGCTTAATTAAAAAATGCGGAATATCTTTTTCTTTTCAATTATGAAGTCAGTATCATTACCAACTTGCTTATTAATCAATTAATAAAATATCGTCTGTATGCAATTGCAATAAAACAGTTAACTGAAATACCTCATTAATTAAAATAACATAAGTATGTCTCTAGTCACGGAGCTACAACACGTAGACCAGACCAACTAGCAGTTTATACAAATCAACTCAAAAGTACTAACAACATGGTGGCATGGACAACTCCCATGCTCACCCCAAATAAGGCAACAAAGCCCAACATAAGTCTCAACTCAACAGCAACATAAAGATAAGGGCAGAAAACATAAACAACATCCAATCCAGTCATGCCAGCATAATATGAACAACACAAAACATCAACTAAGATCTGGCCTCCTGCCACCAGAGACATCAGTCCCCATACTACCTAAACCTAAAATAAGCATTCCCCAAACGTGGGGTGAGATCTCTAAACAAGAAATCTCAGTAAGGCAAGGGGTCCTCAAGGATCTTCCACCTCAAGCTCACTTACATGTGCAATATAAGTTCAAAAGCAGTTTATCATCATCAGTTCTAAAATAGTATAATGCAACAGATAATCATGTAATGTGTGTCAATTCTATTTTACTAGCCAGAGAAATGCAGGATTTATATACGTCTAATACCCACACATAGTGCAAGACGCCACCTGCATCCACCCCGGATTACCGTCTTGTATGGCGCCACATACTCAGGCTTACCGTCAAGATGGAACAACACATGTATATTAAAAGCCATTACACATAAATCTCAACATCATTTCAAATATTCAAAGCATGTAACACAACATGCATATAACCATACCCCCAAGGGACATGGTGGAACCACAACATGGCTAAACCGAGGACACGAAAGCTTACCTTGCAAGCTAACTATCCAAGCCAAGAGTCCGTACAAGCTTAGGACCCACAAACAGCACAATCACAATCTGTTTATATGAGAAATATCATCAATAACCATAATTTAAAGGTTCATTTCATTATGACAACATTTCCTTATTCGATTACGTCTTTTCTAGATCATAATTATCAAGCACTAAGTCCCTTAATTATAGGTATCATTGTTTCCCAACAGTAACACCAACTTCCTAGGCTATCAAGCCCATATGGGAACTGTCCCACACACAACAAACTGATTTCTGGTCATTTTCACAGGTGGTAATCGATTACCAAGGGCTGTTAATCGATTACTGCAAATGGTAATCCATTACCACCAGCAAGGTAATCGATTACCACACATGGTAACTGATTACCAATAAAAAATAATCGATTACCACGCGGGCAGAACAACATTATGCAGATTTTTTCTGCATAATCCGAAGTCAAATTGCTACCCCATGACCCAAGGTCCGATTTTGACCCAAAACAGAAGTTCAATACCACATTTTAGACTTAGATTAACAACCTTAAGCTTGAATGATTAAAGTTAACTCATTTCATAACCAAAAACAAGCCATTATCAAGGAAATTCAAAGGAAAGTTCAAGGTATACCAATGGAGATTTAAACTCAGCAAAAAGAAGGCTCTTGGAGCTCTCCAACAAGGCTCAAAGATTCTGACTTTGCAAGAGCACGAAAATACAACACAAGGTTGGACCATTCTCTTCAAAGATGGCTCTTTTAAGCACCAAATGCCATAACCATGGCTTTCTCAAAGAACACTCACCAAGTCAGCCCACTAACACCCAAAAACCAGAGGTTAAACTCAGCAAATTAGGATCTTTAACTCACACAAGGCTTGTCCTCACAATACTCAACCATTTTGGTGAAGGAACCATGACCAAAGGTGATAACTTTGGTGAAATAAGTGAAGGAGAAGCTATGGAGTGGAGAAGGGAAGGTGGCAGCTAAAAGGAACCAGAAAAATCACGTAGCACAAATGTAATTCTGACCTAGGGCTTTGTGCCAAAAGCTTATATAGGCTCACTTAAACATTAAACACACAAATATAACATTAATTGCTACGCTTAGCATTTTAATCCCAAACTCAGGATTATTAACCTACTCAATTTTACAAGAATTATCATATTTTTCTTATATTTTTCGGAGCACCTTTTCGGTACGCGCTTTTCATAGCCAGTACCAGTTTCTGGCACCAGTTCTCATTATTTTAACTTGAAACTCGTTTTACAAGTCCTAAATGGTATTCTAGTAATTATCATGCACTTATTATAATTTTCTGGGATACTTTTTCGGTACGCATTTATACCGACTAGCAGAACCGGTATCTGCACTTTTCGTCAGAAAAGTAACTTTCAGCATTATTACCCACTTACTATAATTATTAGAGCCTCATAATAATTATTAGGGTCAATTATGAAATTATTTCCTAATTTCACATAATTAATTAATTAACTTCCTTAATTAACGGTGCGGGTTCTTACAACAGGTGCAGGTGCAGATAAATCGATGACTATGTCTTCTTGACCAAAATATTGTTCACTTCTTGTATGCATAGGTGCAAATGAAGATTGACCACAATCTATTTCAACATATATCTCAATAAAATTTTGAAATTTTCGATCAACAATTGCATCTATGACATATTCTACGTCTTCATCATCACATATATCGTTACTAATGTAGTATATAGCATCCTTACCAACTGTAGACTCTACCCTGGATATCATCTGCTCAACGCATTGGCTGCCTTGTAGCCCTAATTTTTGGTGAATTCTCCCCTTCAGCTCATTGTATGTAGTGCCCCGTTTGATTTTTAAGATTTTCATTTTTCCTTCAAATTGAACAACATTGGGGCCTTCATAATGCCTTCTATTGTAGTAGATCACTGTAACATACATGTTTGGACTTGAGCTCATCTTTCACACGAATTTGGGACTAGGGTTCGGATTTTGGGGACAACAAATGAATATATAAGTGCAATGACAATGATTTCACAAGATTAAGGGTTTAGAGATGGTGAGATGAAATAGAATATTGATTGCAAGGATTATAGATGACAAACAAGAGAGATATTGGTTTACAAAACGAAAATATTTGAAATGAGACCGAGAATGGGCAAAATATAGGGTTTCTGCCGACATTTAATCGATTAAATATTTTTTTTTAATCGATTAAATGTCCCGAAATTTAATCGATTAAGAGGGATATTTAATCGATTAAATTTCGTGTCAACATTTTTTCTGTATTTTGACCATTTAAACGATTAAATATTCAAGTTAATCGATTAAAGAGAGAAAGATTGGTGGATAGGTTTTGGTGAGGGAGAAAATTGTTATTAATTAATTAATGAGAGACAAAAAGGTCAAAAAACCTCTTTTATTTTCCCTATTAATATTAACTCCCTAAACACACCCTAAATACACAACATGGACTAACACCTTGTAAATGTGAAATGTCACATGATAAGATGCGTGTTCAAAGTGTGTCATACATCAAAATATTTTTTTGTTGTCTACCAAAAAAAAAAAAGTTTTTTTTATTATATATTATTAAGGTATTCTTTTTTTTTTTTACGAGATTGTTCAATAGTTAACCAATTATCCTATAAATACACTTATCTTTGTTTGAACTGGAGCAGAGCAGGAAGCCATGGAAAGAACATTGCTACTGCAACTCACTGTTTTGACTCTAATTTTAGGAGCATCTACTTGCACTTCATCTTCAGATAACCTCATAAATGCATCCAAGCTGCAGATGTTTGTGGATGAGCTTCCAGACATGCCTAGAATCCCAGGCTATGAGGTTGTACTTGTAGATGGCGTTGCCAGATCCAGGTCTCTCCAAATTGGCATGTTCAAAAAGATTTGGGTATGTATCCTTTATTCTTTTCTCTTTCTCTCTTTTTATTTTTATTTTCTTCAATTTTAATTCAACCCGAGCTCCTGCTTCTTCTTCTTCTCTCTCTTTTTTCTTTTTTTACCCGTCTTTTCCTTTCCCTAAAGACTTCAATGCCCATTCTTTGGTGCCATCGACACTAGCTAGGAGCCCAGGACACATGAAATACAAATAAGTACGGTATTCAATGTAGTCCAAGACTTGAAAAGCGATGTTTCTCAAATAAATGGTCTCATAAAGTTTTAATTTATGGATTTTTTTTTAAAAGCATAATACATCTAAATAATTATTTGATATGATTATGAAAATTTTTATGTAGTTGGTAAAACGAGTCCAACTTATGTCGGATTGTACCGTTTAACCCATTATATATAAATGGTTGGATTGGGTTTCACAACTTGTCAATCCATTTGAATTTACAAATATAAGGTCGGGTCAAAAATAGATTAAACCCACCGTAGGATAAGTTGATCCATGGGGTTGCTTTATTTTATTTAATGTTAAAAAATTAATTAATGACTTTTTATATCTCTTTGATCATTATTTCATGCCTTTTGCATTTATAGGGAATATATTTTTGAATATATTTTTATATTTTAATATGGAGAAGGTTATATTGACAAATTTTTTTCTTACAAATTTATAAATTATACTAAATTTGACTAGTCATATACTATTGATTGAAGTTTGACCAGTCACACTTAGTGTAGTTTGTATTAAAAAAAAATTGTTATATAACCCTTCCCTTTAATATAATAGCGGGTTCGCCTTACTATCTTTTATTCAATTTGAAAATAATTGAAATCCAAAATTGTTGATATTTAAAAACCACAAATATATAACTCATTCTCATGAGCCTTTTGTGCTCAAGGATTAATATGACCAACATTTGTGATTCTTCGAGATTAAGGGGAGGCTTTTGTAATTTTAGAGATTCAGATGTATAATATTTCAAGAATAAATTAGAGATTCCGGGTGTGTTTGAATGTGTTTTTGTTTTTAAAAACTGTTTTGAGGATAAATTTTGAAAACTGATTTTGAGAATAAAAAAAATAAGGACTCGTTTGGTGGACAAGATAGGATAATGATAGGATATGATATGGGGTTGATAAAGGTAGGATATGGTATGTGGCTGATAAGCTTATATCATGTCCTGTGTTTGATGAGCACCTGATTAGCAATCTGATAAAATTATATAGAAGGAGAAAGGAGAGAGAAAAAATAAAATATAATGCAATAAATACAAATATATTAGGTAGCGTGAGGATATATTGGGTAGTATGGAGATATATTGTGTATCCAATATTGGTATCCTATCTTGTTGAATCCTAACCCAGCTCCTCCGGATGAAAAATTATGTATTGGATAGGAAAAAATGAGACAATAGGATAAGCTAATCATATCCTATTGACCCACCAAACAAGAGATAAAATAAGATATGATAAGTTATCTCATCCTATCTTCTTTATTAGATGCTCCAAACAGGCTCTAGAACTTGTTTGAATATAATTAGTTTTAAAGTTATAAAGAAGTTGTAGTTATTTACAACAATGCCATTAATGAATCCTCATATTTACAAGATTGTCACCGCAAAATAATTTAAAATTAAAATAAAATTTGATTTAATTACAAAAATTCCATTAATGAATTCTTGTATTTACAAAAATGCCACCGTGAAAACAAGAAAACAACAAAACAGCTTTTGAAAACATCCCTTAGTTATTTTGGTTTTTTGGTTTTTAAAACAAAAACGCCAGGCTGTTTTGAAAATAGATAACATGAAAACACTTTTTCCAAACAATTTTTTTGTTTTGTTGTTTTTAAAATTCAAAAGTTGTTCTCCAGACTTGATGTCTAGCGTAAGCTCGAACAATGCACTCCCAATTTATTATAGTGGCAAATATGGGATAATTACTACCGATATCTTTCTCAAACCAACTTTCTCCTCAAATAATCTACATAATTAAAAAAATTGATGAAATTTAAGCCGTTTAACAATATTCAGGAGTGATTGTCCTAAAAAGAGAGAGTAGGGGATACTATTAGTGCTCCACTAGCGCTGTTAATGCTCCATTAGTGCTGTTAATGCTCCACTAGCACTGTTAATACATATTGTAGAACAGGTAATTATTTAATTAAGGGTTCCAAACTTTTGCTGCACCACTTTTTTTACGCAATAGACATAAAAAAAGTTATACAGTGATAGAAGAAGTATAAAAGTCTTTAACTCAAATATCCACCAAAATCAATTAAAACCGTGCCTTTTTAGAACAAAGTTATGCCTAAATTCGACTAATAAACTGATTAAAAGAATTGACATTTTACTTTTGTTGTCAGAGTTATATACGAGATAAAAATGTTAAATTTGATTTGGCAGAAATTCCACAGGGATATTCCCCCAACATTAGTTTTTGCATTCGGGATAACCATTGAGACAGCAACAGTTCCAGGTCCAACCATTAAGGCTCTTTATGGAGTTGACACCTACGTGACGTGGCAAAATCACCTCCCTCCAAAGCACATACTTCCGTGGGATCCAACGATCCCAACTGCAATGCCCCACACAAAGATGGGTGTCCCCACAGTGGTTCACCTCCACGGTGGAATTCACGAACCCCAGAGTGATGGAAACGCAAACTCATGGTTCACCTTTGGATTTCAAGAAACGGGACCCACTTGGACCAACAAGACATACCACTATCCCAACAACCAACAACCTGGTAATCTATTTTACCATGATCATGCTATGGGGTTGACCAGAGTCAACCTTGTTGCTGGCTTGGTTGGGGCCTACATCATCCACCACCCTCAGATTGAGGACCCACTTGGATTACCCCACGGTGATGAATTCGATCGACCGTTGATTATCTTCGATCGAAACTTTTACACCAACGGTTCCATCTACATGAATTCCACTGGAGACAACCCTTCCATACACCCACAGTGGCAGCCAGAGTACTTTGGTGATGTTATTATTGTGAATGGTAAAGCTTGGCCACGTTTCACTGTACGACGTCGTAGATATAGATTTCGAATAGTCAACGCTTGCAATGCTAGATTCTTTAGCTTATTTTTCACCAACGGCTTGAGATTCATCCACGTGGGATCAGATTCTGCTTACATTGATAAGCCAGTTATCACTAATAAGACTGTGGTGGGGCCATCTGAGATCATAGATGTAATTGTTGACTTTTCAGAGTCAAGGACTAATTTCGCTAATCTAGCCAATGATGCACCGTATCCTTACCCATCTGGTAACCCTGTGAATGAAGCTAACAATAAGGTTATGAAATTCATCATCCTACCTCATCCAGAAGTTGACACGTCACGAGTCCCACAAAAGTTGTTGGAATATCCCAGTGCAGATTTATCCAGTGTGTCAGACACACGATACATTACTATGTATGAGTACACAAGCAACACTGGTCAACCGACTCATTTGTACCTTAATGCAAAACCCTTTGAAGCGCCGGTTACAGAAACACCGAAAGAGGGGTCCACAGAGTTGTGGTATGTGATCAATCTCACAGGGGATAATCACCCTCTGCACATTCATTTGGCTTTGTTCAAGGTATTGGATCAAACGGAGCTTGTGAAATCAGATGAATTCAAGAGTTGCATGATGAGGATCAATGATGCATTGAAGTGCCACGTGGAAAAGTATGCACGTGGCAGGAAAGTAGCGGTGCCGGGTAATGAGAAGGGGTGGAAGAATGTGTTCAAGATAATACCAGGGTACGTGACGAAGATATTGGTGAGGTTTTCGTATATACACACAAATGCGTCGTATGCTTTTGATGCAACAGCAGAGCCTGGTTACCTATATCACTGTCATGTAAGTATTTTTTATTAAATATGTTTTTTCATTCATGCATTATTATTATTTTTGGTGCAATTCATGTTTTTTTTTTTTGTTTATCTTTTTTAAAATTAAAGCTTTGTCTATTCCTAATGACATGCACATTTATACGTAGATATTGGACCACGAAGACAATTCAATGATGAGGCCCTTTAAGGTCATCAAGTGACGTTTGTCTAAGGTAGCCAAAGAGTGGTAAATACATTAACAATTCAGTTAGATTCCTATTTTGTGTTTTTTCTTAATACGCATTTTATGTTATTTTTATTGGTTATTTTGTATATATGTGCTATAAATAGGTTTTTATATTTTAAATTTGTTAAAAAAAGTTATTGTATTTAATTAATGGGAATAAAATTTCCTTAAAAGTTTAGGCTTGAGTTTGGGGTTTAAAAAAGTTAAGTTGACGAAATATACTTTTTATTACATATTATCACTTTCATTTAATAATTATTTTTCTTGTCAATACTTTCACCCTATGTTTGTAATTATATTATTAATTTCCTTTATATTAATAATAAGATAATTTTTTTTTTTTGGAAAACATAATAAGAGAAAATTTAAATGTGTTATCACGACTTTGCAATTAATGATGTTAGTCGCAATATATTTTTAGTAATAAACTATTTTTCCATTCACCAAAAAAAAAAAAAAAACTATTTTTCCATACTCACGTTATGCTCAAGTTCATTATATAATGTAATTTTCTACTCTTATTGCATTAATTATTCACAGCAGTAAAATTTACTTAAAAATAAAGAAATTTTTTATTCATGTAGTACTTTTCTTATATCATGATAATTGATAGTTTTGGAATAATATGTGTAAAAATAATAAAATAAATTACACTTTAAGGATTCAAATATAATATGTATGCTATATTGAGGCTAATATTTAATTAAGGCATCAATCCAAATCAATATTCATGTATAGATTACTGGGGAAGGATATTGTGACAACCAAGTTGTGTTACTACCAAGTGATTACCAATTAATCTTACCGTTAGATCGCTTATGTTGATTCAACGGTTATATTTATTTTCATCTTTGTATGGTCATGATTTCCCAAATTTAATACTTTATATTTATTTTTACTTTTGTATGGTTATGATTTCCCATATTTAATGCTTTCACTTTAAATATGGGAAATCATAACCATACAAAGATAGAAATAAATATAATCGTTGGATCAACATAATCGATTTAACGGTGAAATTAATTGGTAGTCACTTGGTAGTAACACAACTTGGTTGTCACAATATCCTTCCCCTTACTTACGTAAATAACTTTTAATTCTATTTATTAAATTCAAGCCATTAATGTATTTAAAAAAAACCAATTATATATATATTACTTATCGTTTCTCAAGCCGCTTGAGATAATTTTATCTCCGGCTACTAAATACTAACCGTACAAAGATGGATCCATGGAGATAAAGGAAAAGAGAGGAAAAAAGAATCATAACCATTCAAATGTGAATCAATTAATATAAGAAAATAAATAAACAAAACGATGTAATTTTAGGGTGACCGGAGATAAACTTAACTTTTTTTTTGTAAAATAAAGAGGGGCACAACCCAGAAAGACAAAGACTAAACAAAAAGAGGCAAAGAGACAGACTTGGAGACATCCCTTAACAGAGTTGCAGGAGAAATACTTTTCTCATATATATATATATACACGGAAAAACATTTCTCTTGCAAATTGAGATAACTTTATCTCTAACCACTAAATCATAATCGTGCAAAGATGAATCAATGTTGATATATAATTAGAGAGAAAAAGAGAATCATAACCATTCAAAAGTTAATCTATTAATATAAAAAAAATAAAATAAACAAAACGACGTAATTTTAAGGAGGACGAAGATAAATATATCTCAAGTGACTTGAGAAATATTTTTCTCATATATATATAGAGATAGGATCCTTTGACACTGGTGTCAAATTTTAAAATTTGACACCACATCCTAACCGTTGATTTTTGCAATTAACTATCATGATTTCCGCAATCAAACTTATTTATTAATGAATTATTAATTTCCAATAAATGATAACCGTTAATTGACAGAAATCAATGATTATAATTTGTTGTCAAATTTTAAAGTTTGATATCGATGTCAAATGATCTTATCTCTCTTATATATATATATATATATATATATATATATATATATATATATATATTCTTACACCAGTGTAAGAGTTATGAGTCTTACATTCAATCTTGACCATTGATCCACTTGTATCCAATGACTCACATTACTAAAAAATTTGAACCCTTAGATATAAGTGAGATCAACGGATAAGATTAAGAGTGTAACTTACACTGGTATAAAATGATCTTGACCCATATATATATATATATATATATATATGAGTGTGGGAAGATAGAATTTTTTTTGTAATACCTCTGTTGTTAGTGCCATCTTTAGTTATTATTATATATATTTTTCAAGTAAAAGAAGTTTTCATATACATTTCATTAGTAAATTGAATTTATTTACATAGTATAATAGAAGCACGTGCCTCAGTGCAGGATGGAACATTTGACATAGTCATTATACCCAAATTTTAATAATTTTGGCCAGTAATAATTAAGTTATAAAATTAGTAGCCATGTAAATTTAATGTGATTTACACATAAAACATATAAGTGAAGCTAATTATATTTTTTATAAACATGAATGTCTCTAATCAATACTTTTTTCATCTTAAAACTCAGTTCACTTTACATGTTAGTTTATAAACGTAAGTTGTTAGTTAATATATTGGAAAGTAACTGTAGAGAAATAATACTAGCTAGAGGTACCATTGAAATTTTTATTCAAACATCAAATTCTTTCTTTAAGTAGAAATTAGATCATAGAACAGATAAAAAAAAAGAAAGAACTCGCATTACAGAATTTTGATTTATTTATTGTATACAACATTTCAAAATAACAATAATAATCCTAGATGATTTTTGGTCTATCATTAATGTAAAACTTTTTTCACGCCACTATTTGATTTTGTGTTGCATGTATCATTAAAAAAATTTAGTTATAGTGACAAATAATTGACATGTAAAAAAATTTCAGCGATGTAATGACAAATTATTTGGTCATAGTAAAAAGGTCTCAAGTGGCATTTAGTTCTCATTTTTCATCTACTACTTCTTTTTTTTACTACTGTCTTATTTGTTCTAATGCATATAAAACTCACGAGTTGAAACTGTATTAGCAGGAACAGAAGAGGGAGGGATTTATGTTCTTGAAAGGCCCTTCTGTCATTTCTCAGTTATTATATATACATTTTAGTGTGTAATTGTTGTGCTTAACAAATATTATTTGTTTGTAAAGTGAAAATCCAATGTGATAAGTGAACCAAGTAAGATCTTGTAAAGTCAGATATACTATGTGTATATGTGCAAATAAAGTTCTAGAAATACATTTACTGTCTAAGTACAGAATAAATCATATTCAAATATTAGTCTGCAATGTTTTATCTTTGTTAAGATTACCATATGAAACCTCATAATAGTTGCATAGACCGTTGGTATATGCTAGATGTTTTTAGCATACGATATTATGTTAAATGTATAACTTCATCTTGAGATCCTACTGAATAAAATCAGAACATGAAATAATATAGATTATTGATGACCATATAAAATAGCATTTTTCGAAACTGGATGCAGCACTGTTATTTTTAACTAGAAATATTAGCATGCTAATATTTATCATGGTATGTCCTACTTAAACAACCTCATGTTCTTCCTTCTGCTGCGTTAGGTCATTAGAAGCTTGAAACACAGTAATTTACCTTGATTCATCTAATACGTCCGCTCTGTTTATAAATAAAAATATAAATAGGATTAGAAAAACCTTAACAGTAACTATGTTGCTTTTCTGCTAATCCCGAAAACACCTCACAGCATGAGAAATATGAGTGATAAACATTTATGGCACAATGGCTTTTTAAGATGGTTATTGTTATTATCTAAGAGGGGAGAAGAAGAATTGAAAAAATCTTCAAACTAGGATTAACCAGTATATGATCTATAAAATTTATCCAAAACCAAAGTCATATATATAGTTTCACTAATGTAATAGAGAGCCACATTTTTAAGTCCAGGCTCATATATCATACACATTCATTATCATTTTTCTAAGGAACAAAAAAAGAAATGCTAAACTGTTTAAAGTTGCAAGTCCAAGCCAAATTGACTAAAGCTCTTAATCTGTCTTCTTCTCTGATAACTGGGGTTTGTTGATGGCCGCAGATCGCTTGTCTTCTCCTGTCTTAGCATAGATCTCTCCCCTCTCTTGAAAATACCTCTCAAAAGCTCTTGGAAGGAACCTTGGTATCAAGAACCCAAATAGATTGATGCAGAAATAAACCAGATTTAACACTGCCAGACCCTTCCCAAACCAATACCATGCTATGTCCTGCATGCAAAACAGTTGTAATTCATTAATTTCTGTCATCCAATCAACTATCAACTATCTCAAAAGAAAAAGCTAGCTTAAAATGTTACATGAAAATGATTTTATATTTTATATTATATTTTTAATTCAATATTTATTAAAATTAGAAGATCATTGGAAGAATGAAGCAGCAAGGTCTGTACCATTTAATCAAAGTCTCTAGTATCATATTAAACAATCAACTATCTCAAAAACTTAAAAGCTGTTAGATAGACGGAGATGAATGATTTTATATTATATTTGTAATGATTTCCCATGTACATACACATAATATAATAATCACACACACACGAGATTATAATCTTAAAAGAACTTTAATTGGGATGAGGTCATCTCAGTCATAAAAAAATAAAAATAAAATAAGAAAATTACCTGAAGCGGTGCATTTGCAGGCAAAGTTTTGTTGAGCCACACATCATGTATCCAATCAATATCCACAAAGATCCTCCGAATTGTGTAGATCATAGGAACCAATGCTCTCACAGGTGGTGAAAACAGAGACAAGCTACTGATGATGTTCTCAGTCAATATTTGAAAAGAGAGCAAGAACAAATGCGGGGTTGCTGACCTTACAGCATGCTCATCCCCTCTAGCAAACCCTCCCAACACATAGGCCAATGGCAAGAACAACCCTACAGTTGTTCCAACAATAACATACATTCGGAAGAACCTGCTTCCTTTGAAGATCTCCTGTGATGCAGGCCCTGATGTTGAACCTAAAGATGGGAATGCAAAATGTGCAAGTGCCATTATGTAAGCAGAGGCAAGGGCTGGGAACACTAGATCAAGGAGTGGAACAAGACCACTTGCTGAGAATACCAATATGAATGCCACAAGCTGAAGCTCTATCATTCGGAGTGAACCCATCATGCCACCAGCTGGTGCATGTTCTTGCTGTTTTTGCTGTGTGCCTGGTGGAGCCACCGTTTGTTCTGTCGTCTGTGATGGACGTCCCACTGCTAGAGACACGCCTGACATTTTCTTTTCACTGAGGTTGATTATTTTGATCAGAGATTAGTTTCTCTAATATGACACCAAATCTGGGAACAGAATAGGCTATCTAACATATCATTAATAATTAACAACAGGGCATGCATATAAGAGTTGTCATACACCAAAACTAAATAAGAGTTGTCATACACCAAAACTAAGTTACAATGTGTGGAATCTCATGAATAATTTTATTGTATATATTAATAATGTGTGGAATCTCATTAATAATTAAACAGCTAGAGGGATCACATTAATAATGACAAGAGGCAACCATATCCATATCCATATCCATTCAATTTCAATCAATCGTATATATTAAATGGGTTGCAGATTTGTTTGCATAACAGTGTAAATACATGGACAGAAACTACAATTTAGAGCTAATTAATTAGACATGTCATGTTTGATGCCACAATGCATACCACGCTGGGAGATATGATGAAAATGATGAGTTGAGAATGGGAATTCAAAGATTATCGTTGGAAATATTCCAGAGAAAAAATTGATGAGGCTAAGGAAAGTAAAAATAAAACAAAAAAAATTAAAGAGACCTAAAGTGAGAACATGAGATGTTAGTCTTACAAATGAAATGGTCAGAAAAGAAGAGAAGAGCCGGAACTGTTGATTCAAAAATGAGTTGCCGTAGGCGATGAAAAAGACGAGTCTCCTTGAATGAGTGAAAATGAGTGTATGATCCTAATTCACTGCACAGAACATAAAAACACCCAGCATTGTCCCGAATCTATAGCAAACGTTGTAACGTGTAATGTAGCATGCACAACACTTGTTTCTCTTTGGTGTTCTTAGTGGCCAATGCTCTGTGCACGTGTTACATTCTAATGCTAGCTGATTTCATCATTTATAAGCTTAGATTTTTTTTTTTTCTTTCCTCTTTCTAATCTTTAAGCTATATATATATATGCAAAACACTCAGGTTGATTAAAAAAATAAAAAGTGAGTTCTGGTATATTAATGATGATTTGTTATATAGGTGTTTGTGTTATATAAAAGGATAATATTGTATGATATAGTTTGTGTTATATAAAAGGATAATATTGTATGATATATATATATATATATATATATATATATATATGAGAAAAGTGTTTGTCATTTTAAATGACATAAAGTTATATCATTTTAAGAGAGAGATAAACACAAAATAATTTTTTTATTTAAATTTTAAATTAAAAAAATCACTCACTTTCTCTCTCCCATGATTTCTATTTTTGTGTGTCTATCTCTATCATAAAATGACATAACTTATGTCATTTAAAATGACAAATACCAAACCATAAGATTTTCAAGCTGATTGAGATAATTTTATCTTCGGCTACTAAATCATAATCGTACAAAGATGGATCAATGGTAATAAACGAAGAGAGAAAAAAAAGAAATCATAACCATTCAAAGGTGAATCAAATAATATAAAAAAATAAAAATAAAACAACGTAGTTTTGGGATGGCCGAAAATAAATTTATCTCGAGTTGCCGGAAAAATAATTTTCTCGATATATATATATATATATATATATATATATATATATATAAGAGAATATTCTTACTACTAAAATTTTCTACTACCAACTTACTACCTATCTAATCACCATTGAATCAAAGAGAGAGAATGTTAAAAAAAATTTGAAAAAAGAGAAAATATTGATCTAATGGTGATTAGATAGGTAGTAAGTTGGTAGTAAAAAATTTTAGTAGTAAGAATATCCCTCCTCTATATATATATATATATGTGATACAGAGATACTGGTACCCTGGTGTGAAATGAGGCGCAAACAGACACTGAGTAGTACTCAAATGTGGAGAATTCGCAACAGGATTTGTAACTGTGGCGGTGCCTATTAATGAGTGGTGGATTTTCCAAAGCGGGAAACCAGAAGACTCGGCAACTATTAACAATGAATCGAAGAGTGAAATCAAATATTCAACATCAAATTTAGTTCCAGAGTAATTTGAGTTACAATTATCATTAGCTTGCAGATTATTATATAAAGACATTTTCATGAATCTGAATGAAAATTGTATTACAGGTAAATTAACAGTTACCCGGTAAAATGCAGTAATAAACCTAAAGGGTAAATTTCACCCCTTAGTTTTTTTATAATTAAATTGAGTTATTATATACATATTCAACTATTCATATATATCATATGAAGGGAGTTGCCAGCTTTTGAAACGTTACTGTTGAATTTTTTATTTTTTTTGTAATAATTGAATTTATTATGTTTTGTTGTGTGGTGAAATGCCATCAATGAGTATTAAAGGCATGCACTCGGTGACCAAAGATTGCATGAAATAATGAGATGAAATAGACAGAGAAAAGAGATAGCTCATAGATAGTGAGCTGGAACAGTTATCGAGAAGCAGGAGAAGTTAGCTATGGATTCTCTGTGTCATCACCGAATAAATGAAGGGAAATAATTATTTCATGTTTCACGAGATAATTATTTCATGTAAAAAAATAGTGGATCCTATAATTTTATCTGTGTTGCATGAGACATGGGAATAATAGATCTCATAAATGAATCCGTGGCTTGTCAGTGTTTATAGTTTGGTATGTCTTCCACTTGATTCGATTTGGTCCATTTTAAAAATAGTAACGCGAGAATATTTTTTTTTATAAATTAGCATAAGCTTATTTTAGGAGGTTCGGTCTCTAAATATCGTATGTATTTTTTTAATACATAATATTTATTATTTTTTAATAAAATAACTTTTTGGATTATGTTATAGCTTCAGCCTTCATTATTATATTATTTTAACTTTTTATCAATTTGAACATATAAAAAGAAATAAAATAATATAAATATATAAAATGTAATATGTCCTTTTTAAAGGTTTGATAGATCAGATCAAGAATTGTATTCTTTAACGGAAGTAACTGTCTTACCCGAGTAACTCACATACTTGATTAAGTATTCAGCATAAACTACATTGAATTACATATTCTCCATGTGCGATCAATCCATTAGATCTCTTCCCGTTATTGTCACATTAGTTACAAATACCTACTTTCTAACAACTATAATCTTTCGTGCATTAAAATGAGGACAATGCTTTTCTCATGCTACATGAGATAGTATTATTTCATGTAGAGACATAATTAGGTGGGCCCCACGGTTAAAAGAAAATAAAAAAGAAAAAGAAATGCTAGCTCGGATTGTGATGTGTCTGTGACATGAGATAAAAAAAATTTATGTAACTTGAGAAAAACATTTCTCTTAAAATAATGAGTCAACATATACGTTTCTTTTATCATGACACCCCAGATATATCATGTTAGACAAATTTCGTCTAATGTCATAGAGATAAACATGTGGAATTCATTTTTTAAATAAAAAATAAAATAAAATTGAAACTAAAGAAACCCATATATTTATCTCTATGATATGAGATAAAATATCTTCAATAACATTATATTAATAAGTCTCTGTGTTTATACAATACAAAATCAATCAATATCAATATTAGAGGTGGCAAAATGCGCCCGGCTCGCCCGTCAAATGATGCGGGGCGGGCTGAGTTTTTCAAACCCGCTGCCAGCCAGCCCGCCTGGGTTGAATTTTTTAATTTTTTTTAGTGTAAGATGTCATGGGCTTGGCGGGCTGAATTTTCTAGCCACCTTCAAAGGCGGGGCGGGCTAGCCCATTTTTTGGCGGGCAGCCCGCTTTGCCACCTTAATCAATATGTTAGGTCGCTGTAGAGTGCCAATAACCTTTAAAAATGGCCTTCTGACCACTGTAGCCTTTAATTAATAAAAAAATTACCATTTCGTCCTTCCACCAAAACCTATCATCCATTTACCCTTATTTGACCGTTAACCCCGTAAAATACTCGAGTACATAGGGGGATACCCAGGTATCCTTCGGAAAAAAAACTACCCGAGCACACAGATGGGCTACCGGGGTAGTGTTCATAATCTGGAAAAAAGTTTGAATTATTTACCCGGGTAGGGAGGGGGTACCCGTGTATATTTCGCGGGTAGGGTTTTTTAAAACCCAGCAGCCTCCATTTTTGCAAAACAACAAAGGATACCCTGGTAGAACTGCGAAAAGGGAAAAATCACTTATTCCTTTACCACACTGGTTGGACAAGTTTCTTCCTCTACGATCATCCTTCGTCACCACCGTTTCTGACTTCAACCAATTGAAAATGAAAAAGGGTATTTTTTTTAGGTTTTAATTTTTGATGAACCCTAACCTAAATTCTGATTTTCGTTTGTGGGTATCTTTCAACTGCTCAAATATCATTTAATCGTTGATTACATTTCGCTTGGTAGCTAGAGCTTGGATTGTTTGCTAATTAAATTTATGATTCTTGAGAGTGACTTTAATTTCTGCGTCCATGAAGTGATGTTTGATTTTTGAGTGTTAATTATATTTGGATTGGTTACACGTGCATTTGTGTTTTTTCAGTTTGACACTGTAAAAAAATGGTTGACAAACGTGGTTCGAAGAAAGGGGTGGTTACCGAGCGGAGGACCAAGTGTTGACATAACGGGTCCTCATCCTCTCAGCCAGAGGCAGCTGTTCACGAGGCTCCTGACATGCCTTTTGGCTATTTATTTGAGAATGACATTATAGCACACGATAGGTTTGTGAAGTCCTTCATGAGCTGCAAAGTATGTGAGCCGAAATCACTGGATTAGGCGTTTTTCAACATGGAGCGGTTACATTGTGCCACTTCTGGTGCTTGTGGAGATGAAGTGCCCTTTTTGGAGGTTATGGTGAGGGCTTTCTACCAGAACCTCCACTACCTACATGGCGAGCTGACTTCCCGCATCTGCGGGATTGACATTGTCCTGACTTCCCCTATCTGGACGGAGCTCCTCAGCTTCATGTATGACGGAGACTCCCATCATATTTTTGGTGCTTACGATCATGAGCCGATTGTCGCGTAGACCAGGAGGGCTGATGCAGAGGCTGGTCATTTTGCTCATTATCCTATAAGTAATCTTTTGGTGCCCGCCCGCATATTACATTATGTTGTGACACATTTATTTTCCAACACAGGCATAATCACTCGAAAGTGCAGGAGGGTGACTTTGTTGTTTTGTGGGCCATCCTTCACCATATTAAGTTGAACTGGAGACACTACATATGTATCCTAATGTGGAAGGCTTCGAAGTCTAGGAAGGTTGAACTGCCATTTGCATTCCTAATGCAGAAGATTTTGCATAGGTTTGGTGTGCCTATGCAAGACGTTTGGTGTGCCTATGCAAGACCCAGCATCAACTTCAACATATATCCCATTAAATTTTAATACTTTCCACTTAACAAATGCATCTGTGACAAATATAATAGCCCTAACTTAATTAATTAGTAAATTATATATAATTAAGTAATTAGGCATGTATTAGTGAGTAAAATTAAGTATAGGGCCAAATTAAATGATTTGGGGTCACTTTTGAGGTAAAAAATGCACTCAGTGAAAATTATGGGGTAAAAATAGGTGTAGGCAAAAGTACCCAAAATATAAAAATAAAAGTGTAAATATTCCTAGAAAAATATTCCAAACCTTTAAGTAAAGTTTGAATGAGAACGGAGTTGGGTAGATAGATAAGCTATTACCAGTGAAAATGACTTAACCAAGTTAAGTGGCAAAAACATGACAAGGACCCCTCATTTTCTTCCTCTTCGTCGAGCAAAAACTGAAAGGGAGGAGAAGAGAATAAACCTTGAAGCCTCAAACCCTAGTTCCATCATCTTTCAACCGATTTGAGTGATTCAAAAGCCTAAACCACTTAGAATCTTCCTCTCATCCTTAATCCTAGCTTGGTTTTGAGTGGGGAGCATTGTGGTGTGAGATTTATCTTCCCAAATTTTTCCCCCTTTGAAGATTGAAGGGGTTTGGGAGCATTTCACTCCTTGGAAGTTTTAGGAACAATCATTCCTTGGTTAAACAACCATTTGTGGTAAGTTTCCACTCCTTAAGCTTGGTTTTCATGGAGTTTGTATGATGGAGGAAGATAATGAATAGTGTCATTGTGAGTAATATGAGTTTGGGTTTGATTTAAGCTTAAGCCCTTTGTAAAAGTTGTTGTAGATGATAAATAAACGGTAGAAATGGATTTAGATTGTCATTTGGTTGTTGTTCAATGTATTAGAAAATTCATGCTTGGGGTTTGTGAGTTTTCTAGCATTTTGAGCAAATTGTAAATTGGATAGTTGATTGTGTCCTTGTGTTGCTAGGAGTGAGGCAAGTGGACCAACCTTGAGTGACCACTCATTGGAGCAAGCTATGGAGCTTGATTAGCGCATTTGGATAGGTAAGCTCATGCCAATTGGTGGTGTAGAGTTGTTGTTTTATTGATGAATATATAGATATTCATTAACTTGTATTGATTGATTGTGTGACACCTTGGTGTAGGTGTGTATTTTGCAAGTTGTAGCTTGAATTCAAAGTTGATTGGTTGCAAAAGTTGTTGGTGAACAAAGGTTGAATTGGAGCTCTGAGGTAAGCATTCGGACCTTGGGAATTGATCCCTTAATTGTTCCACCAAGCCCTGAATGGGTAGTGGTTATTAGTAGTGTTGTATACGCAATAAGGTAGTTCAATGCTTTGTTATATGTATGTGTATGAATTTTGTGTGGCATAGGATGGTGTTTCCCTATGTTATGTATGTTGCATGACGATGTGTAATTCATACTTGGTAGTTTAGCTGGCCAGTAGGACTATTTTGCATCTGAGTATCCTTAGGACGGCATAAGAGCTCGAGGGATGTCTCCTGGAGATGTTTTTACACATTGCATGGATATGTATTTACTGCATTATTTACTGATTATTGCTATTATATTGTGAGTGAACTATGGGGTGGAGAGATGCTCCAAGGACCCCTGGTTTACTGAGATGTATTTATATATCTCACCCCGTGTTGTGGGGACCCTCTTTCAGGTAAAGATGTTGCAGGAGCCTCTGATGACAAGTGGCCATATTTGGACTTGTTGATACAAGAAGATTTTGCATCATTTTGGGTTATGCATGCCATGTTGTAGTTCCTATGTATAGGATTGATATTTGAAAGCCATTGGTTATATGTAAATGTCATGCTCTATTTTGATGGACTTAGCCTATGCTCATCTCCTTTGGTATCTCTTTTGTCGATGGGAGCCAAAGATTTGATCATAGTGTTTTGTATCAAAGTCCCATGATTATGTATTAGAGACACTTGGATATTGTGCTTATATATATATATATATATATATATATATATATATATATATATATATATGATGGAAGGGCATGAATGCTTCTTTTGATACATGTCTACCTTGAAATGACTAAGAATCATGTATTGAAGTGGTTGTATGTTGTCCATTAGGTGAAAGAAGACCTCTAGGTTGAAAATCCATGTAAAAATAAAGATTTCATGTCTTTTTGCCCATTTTTCATATCCTATATGATAGATTTGGACCATTGTTCCTTGATGGAAGTTGTAGATCCTTTCTTAGCTTTTCAACGAGACCAAGATGACGTCGATCAGATAAGTATAACTCCAGTTGGGGGTAAAATACTAAGGCTAGGTGTAATCTCCAGAACCTTGGCGCTATTAGCGCCGTGGTGGCGCTAATCGCGCCAAGATACAGTTGGAAAACGCATTTTTGGCGCCATTCGCGCCATGATTGGCGCCGTTCGCGCCATATGTCTGGAAAACTTCTGTTTCGTGGCGCTAATCGCGTTGGGCCCAGTGGGTTCGACACTCGTTTTGTAGAAAATTCATAACTTAGGCTACGGTGCTCCGATTTGAGCGTGGTTTGAACCTACGTGTAGATAACGAAGAGATCTATAACATATTGAAAGATGAAGACCATAAAAGTAGTATATAAATTTCTTAAATAAATAAAGAGTGGAGATGTTTAGTGTTTAATAACAAAAAAAAAATGAGTTTATAAGCCTTGTTGGTCTAATGGGACTACTTGGCACACTAGGGTAGTAACGTATGGTTTAAATAAAATTAAATTAGGTGTTCCACACATAGTTTAAGTTATGATGACAACTATTGGAATTGTTTTAATTACGGAATAGGGTGTTACAACAAACTCCACATCTTCATCATCATTGATCTCATTACCAATGTAGTATATTGTATCAATATCAACTATAGTCTCTAACCTGGCTATCATGCGCTGAATGGATTGGCTGCCTTGTAGCCCCAATTTTTGATGAATTCTTTCCTTCAGTTCATTGTATGTAGTGTTCACTTTGATTTTCATTGTTTTTGTTTTTCCTTCAAATCGGACACCATTGGGACCTTCAAATTGCCACCCATTGTGGTAAATAACTACATGATACATGTTTGAACTTGAACTCATCTTTCACACGAAATTGGATCTACGATTTGAGTTTGGTTCAGATTTTTGAGAAAAAAATAGGAATATGTAGGTGTAATGCCAATGATTTCACAAGATAAGGCCTTTTGAGATGGTGGGAGAAAATACAATCTTGATCGCTCAGAATAGAGATGAGAAAGGAGAGAGATTTAGGGGCACAAAACATACAAATGATAAAAGAGGTCGAAACCCACTGATATTGGGGTTTCTAGTCGACGATTACTCGGGTATCTGGGTGTGTACTCGAGTATTTAACAATATACCCAGGTATCTGGGTGTATATATCCGGGTAAAAACTCAAATTACGTAAGAACACTAATTATCCGCGACATATACCTGGGTAAATGGGTCAGTACTCGGGTAAATGTGTACTCAACGGTCAAACAAGTGTAGATTGATATTATGTTTGGTGAAAATGTCAAATTTTTTTAACAGTTTATAAATAGGGCTAACATAATAATTTTTTATTAATTAAAGGCTATAGTGATCAAAAAGCCTTTAAAAAGGGTACAGTGTGAGGAATTCCGACCTTATATATATATAGTCATGTTTAGAATTTACTTTTGATGAAATTAATAATATTTTGCTTATAAATAATTAATATTCATCTTTTTACACAAGTTCATTAATAAAATCAGTAACTCAGTTTAATTTTTATATGTTTTAAATATTATATATATATATATAATTTAATAAATTTAAATCCTTACTACTTTATATATTTTACTCTATAAAATGCCTCTATTTACACTTTACAGGATGCATATCCTCATTTTTCATTTATTTCAATAAAAAGGCATACAGGAAAAACGATTCAATTTCTCACAAACAATCTTTATTTCAATAAAAAGGCATGAACAAAATTAGTTTATAAGAAAATACATTTTAATTGTACCAAAAAAAAAAAATTACATTTTAATGTTTAAAAAAGAGAGGAGAGTATGGATATATTTATGAAACAAACATTACATTTATGACAAAGTATTAAACTCTTAAAACAAGCGTGGAACATAACATTTATTAATTGGGATTAAATTTATTACTTTTGTCAATAGACATTTCAAAAACTTATTTAATTCATCATTTGAAGCCTACCATTTTACCTACTATTATTTTGATGAAAAAAAATATTATCTACTCTAAGAATTTATTACTTAGACTAATGAGGTTCATCATCTTACTTAGAATTTAGCAATACGTGTACGCAAAATCTAATTTATTTATTTTTTAAAATATTTTAATAGATTTATTGTTTTGCGACTAGTCCAATTTAGAACGGATCCTGAAATTAAGATTTTAAATCTCTTTCAAACACATACTCTCACTTTCAACTCTGCTCAGTTCCCTTCCGCTAATTGAACTATCATCATTTGGTAAGCAAAATCTAATCTAATCTAACATGAACGTTGTTAACACCTCTCACATGATTAATGAATCAAAATGTTACTACTGCGTGCAGTTTCAGAGCCTCGTGTGAAGAAAATGCATTGATTCTGAATGTGGAAACCCAATTAAATAAAAGCTGAGACAATATTAATAAATGCAAAATTGTCATCCGCTTCTTTGATACAGCCAAGATGGTAAAATAAATCGTGTAATGCAATGTTCCAATTAACTCTTCCCGAATTGATATTATTATTATTATCAGCTACAGACAGCTTCCACTGCAAGTTTCCTTGATAAACCAGGACACAAGTTGTTTTTGAAATTCTCTTCATTTAATTTTATGACACAGTCGTTTTTGTTTAGGCACGCCTGCAATAATGAAATGTATAAAGACCTATCAGTACTATAATCCTTTAAAATAAAATGCCAAACTATGGAACATTGCATGAAGTATTTCCCTACAAAAGAAAAAGACAGATAGCTGAGTGTGACCTGCATGCATAAGCTAAGTTTGAAACAAGGGAATAGTCAAATATTTTGATAAAAGACCACTTTTATGTAATGATAAATTCACTCAAGTGTATGAAATGCTGGAAACATTGAATCCTACGTGGGATTAATGATGATAACTTGCTATGAACTTCATTAATAGATAGGTGTAGAGTATAAATCAAATGCAAAATAGAATAAATTACAAAAACACATACCTTCTCAACAACTATGCTAGAATTTGGATCATGGCAATCTCCCTTCAAGTAAGATCCACATGTTCCAGAAGGGGTTCCAAAGCTAGCAAATTTTACAGCAGATATAACAGTGTTTCTGGGGCATGTTAAACGTGCAATTGGAAAGTTTTTGTTATTCTCTATTTTATGAGAAAGGAGTCCAACATAGGGATAATCCTCTGCAACAAGGGCACACACTCCAGATACTTTACGTCTCAGGAATCTGATACTTGTTGGATCTCCACCTTTCTCCTCAAAAATAACAAGAATATTTCCAGATGGCTTGAACCAAGAACGTGGAACATGATACCTGATCCATAGGAAATACAGAATGTTTTATTAAAAAAAGCAACAATGATACATAACTATTGAGACCTACCAAATAAATTTCTAGTTCTTCACAATTATGATGAATCACGAATGATTTCTACTCTTACCATTTGTCAAATTAGCTATGATGTAGAAAGAGCTACAAAATGAAACTCAATCTATCAAAATTGTAAAAGTGTACTATGGATACTAATTCACAATAGAAAGTGAGGACAGCCTCTTGAAAACCTATAAACAATCCTTATCAATTTTTTTTGATAAAATAAAAAATCTGTCAGGGATCTATCCTGCAGCATCAATCGCATCAATTTATAAATAAAATCTTATTCTAGTATTTATCTCTGGCCTATTTCTATTAGTTATGAAATTTGGCACGAAACTCTTCAACCACTTTAACATATCTAAGGTAAAAGTTTTGTATATAAAAAAAGAAAAGAAAGGAAAAGGCAATGCATTTCAATTCATCAATTTCACTTAAATCATAATTGCCATAGATTTTACCACTTCTGTGTAGGTTCTCCACAACCAGTGTCACATTTGTCAGGAAGGAATTTGCCTCTATAGTCACATTCTTGAACACAATCTTCTTTCTTGAATTCACTTGTCCTGGGCCAATATCTTCCAATTTCTTCTCCATTTAACCAGGCTAGACCTTTTCCCATATGCAACATATCCAAACCAACTGGTTCATCCCCAGGTGGAGCATCCACAACAGCCTGCAAGGCCAAGAGTTTTGAAAGAAACTTCACCAAAAAACACTATACTAAATGAAAGAAGTACTGATAATTTCCATAAGTGATGCCAAAAATAGAAAGGTCGCATTACCTTGTACCACGTCAGTGGCTGCCCTTTGGGTGGTTCTGAGGTAGATGTCCAGTTCACATTATTCAATCCATCTCCCTGGTATATCCTTAGATGTTCTCCTTGCACTCCAATCTGAGAAAGCAGGAAATAGAACAGATCATAGGACAAAGGCTAATCAAAACTTTCATGGTTAATACTACCATCAAATTTCTTTAAAAGATTGAGCGGTATTTCTAAGGTAAAAGGAACTGCCAATATATATATCCATTGAAGTACCTTGTAAGTCCAAGCATAAGAAGACAAGTCTATTGTCCCATTGTTGAATCCCTCAATCTTTACACTTGTTAGTCCTGCCCCTACGAAGTCGTAAAATGGTCCAGCGGTCTAAACATAATAAAAAAAAAATAGTAATGAGAATTCAAATCATTTAAGAGAAAAATAGACACCTTATGACAAGCCATTCTCAAATCTCTGGTTTAACAACTAATGTCTTACAACAGTTTGGGCATCTGTAAGTGTAACTAACTTCTGAAAAAAATTAAACTTATGAATAAATTTAAATTAAGTTTCAGTCTCAAATGAATTCCTTGAATTTCTATGGACATTTTATAAATTCCATCCATAAGGAGAAAAAAGAACATATAATTGACTTGGAGCTCAGAAATTCATGCATTCAGTGTGGCATTAATAGAATTCAGTCCGATCCAGAAGTCAATTATAAGCCTTTTTTATGATCCGGACCTCAGATCATGAAATACAAACACACTGAAGGGTATAAAACCAGGTGAAAAATACATTGGAAAATACAGAAATAAATTTCATATATGGGGTTTAATATTATGAAATAAAATCATTCAAAATTCTGGATGCCAAAGAAATGGGCCTAGATGGCAACAGATACCTAGATAGCAATTTGCAGATGGTGGTGGTGTTGTTATTGGAAATTAAATTCTATTACCAGCGCAGAGATCAATCTAAACTTACATTTTGACATATTTGAACTCCTGCCACTTACTAAGCCCCTATTGTGATAAGAAAATTGTGTTTCTTATTTATATCGAACTCTTAAACTCTCAAGAAAAATACATGCTCTAATTCTAAACAGAGTAACTTACCTGTAAACCTACGGTCAAGCTCAACAAAGCAATTTCATTCTTCCCTGAACTGAGAGAGATAGGATTCTTAAAAGTGAATGTTGAATTTGTACCATTTCCAGATGCAATCCCTAAAGGAAAAATTTAAAATTATAAAAAATGAAGGGAGAAAAAAATCATTTGTCAGAGCTCATGATCAACTTAACTAATGATTATACTCATCTTAAGTGCTGCAATTCAATCACTTCTGATTTTTTTCACCCCATGATAATTGATTAATAAAATATAAAGCTATGTGACTACTATCTATTAGAGGATAACCTTGATACTCCTGATTCACAAAAGCATGCAGAGCATGACCCTTGGATTCTATTAGAAGAACTGGTTTGCTTCCCTTCTTTAAGAACTCTTCATTTTCACCAACAAATATACTGCCATAAACAAAAAATTGAACTTTAATTGACTAAAATCTACTTAAACTCAATTTACTAAGCATGTCTATGTCTATGACATTATATATAAATGAGCATAAAATTCATAATGTAAAGAAGAAGCACGCATAAACCGCTCCCCATTAAACCCCACTAGTAAGGGTAGGGGTGAGGGATGCAACCTTATCTTGCATATTTGCAAAAAGGCCTTCTATGGAAATTACTTATCATATTAAAATATTATGCACAAGCACATGTTTCAATCCTTTATCCTTTTTATTGATTGATACCTGCCCTTGATCATTTTTTATACTGAGACAAACCTTGTTGTATGCCACAGATAGTCAGTGGTATCTTTGGTAGTATTGATGTGGTCGACAAAGCCATTTTTGACCAAGTCTGCCTTTCCCCATATCCCTGCTTTCTCCTTCAATACACCCCATTTAAAAGTTTTTACACTTTTATCTGATTGCTGCAAATTCTCAGGAACCATTGCAACTACATTTGTCTGGGAAGCAACCTGTTGAAGATTTTAGGACTAAGCACAAGGACCAGAAAAAAGAAGTACATACATATTTTTTTTACATTTATTGTGTTCCTAGGGAAATTAATTAAGACAATAACTTCTATTGCAGAAAAAGTTGTCGTATTGAAAGTGATTTTGGTCATGCTGCAAATAGCAATTTCAGTTTCATGGGGTTTTCACTCACAAACATCTAAACACCTTAGCTTTAAGGATTATAATCATAGAGTTGATATGATTTTGTCTAGATGTATTCCAAAATCAGTCTTTTTCCACGACCTACAAAATTTTCATTATTTTAGAGAAACCTCAGAACTGAGTTCCAATGTAATATTCAACATCACTAAAATTTTGAGCAATGTTGCAAATATGAACTGAGTCCTTGATGTTGGTTTTTGTGAATCGTTAGACAAGATGGAAGTTAAATTGTTAAACATTGTCAGATGTGCTAACAGAACCAGCATAGGCAGAGTAAACATGCCATTTCTGTGTTTTGTCCGAGCCACCCATAATATAAGCCATGCTGCCTCCCCCAAGCTTTGCAAAGTATCCATCCAGGATCGTTACTTCCTCAGAAAAGTGGCGATGGGGATAAGGCTGAGCACCAGGAAAAATGAAACTTCCTCGGGTGTATCTTACAGATCTAACCTTAAGGGAAAGGACCTCAGCCAACTTCAATATGGGTGGGATTGAAAGCAGTAACTTCGTAGTACCACAGGTTTTAATGATGATCTTGTAGGGATAAACAAAAAGGCTGGACTCAGACAGAACATACGAGTCAATTTCATCATTTGACAACGAAGAAACAATGGTGCACTCAGCTGGTGCCAGAATCTCATCCAACTGGGATTTAAGAGACCTTAAACCACTTCCATCAGGGTCAGAAAAGAGTCCTGGCTGGAAAAAGGTTATCTCCAGTCTCTTCTCGTAACCTTCAAAACCGATAGCAGAAACTGCCATGGCCGTGTTTCAGAAATGAAATGAACGCAGTCGGGAACGAAAGAACAGTTGCAAAAGAGAATGATCGCAAAGAGAGGGATTGGAAATATGTCGTTTGAAGGAGAGTAGTGAACAAGCCTAAAGGAAAACAAAAAGAAAAGCTAAAAAAACACTGGTTGCATGCAAGGGATATCAGGACGGCTTGCGAGCGCAGTTGGAGTATGCAGCAGAATGCAGGAAAGATGTCAGTGGAATGCAGGAACAGTAATAACATACCTTTGCTGTGTTGAACACTACATTCTTGCAATCAGGAAGAATGCTAACTGACCATGCTGGCAGGTGATATGATGCATTCCGAAATTCCACTGTCTTATCATTTTTATCATCAACATTAGCAATAAAGGCAGCACATGCTCCTGATGAGTCAGTATAGACATCAGCCTGCAATACAGTGGTTACCACATAATGGCATATAATTCCAGATCAATAGATTATTAAGTACATTCAAAATCAAAGACATCATGGATGATCGAATATGAAAGAAAACATATACCACTCCCCAAGAATAGTTTTATATCTCTAACACTTGATAATATCATAAAGCTAAAATTTACTTCCTTAAACTAAACTGTAGACAGTCCAGTAATGAAAATTCTGCTGCTACGTAGGAACCACTAGAAACTTCTTAACTCTACCTAATAATCATTCTTGCTGAAAATGCAGATAAATACAGCCATCGTACCTTCTACCAGAATGTCGTTTTTGTAATTTTAAATAAATTAAAAGAAAAATTTGTTTGTTGTCTAAATCCATGGTTGAGTAAAAGGAGACTGAAAAAATGTTCCACTCTTCCGAAACAGATGAAGTGACATGATAATATTTATCATTTTAATTGTAATACACAGTACCAAAGGATTCCAGCAGCAAGACAAGAAGGTCTAGAATAAAAAGTAAGCAACATTTCAACAGTATCATATAAAATGTTTAAGAAAACAATCAAGCAATCAGAATATGCATAATATGATTTGGATTTGAGGGAGGGTTCACAACTACACAAAAGACAATATATTTGTACCAGCCATGAATGTCAGATTTTTAAAGGAAGAAAAATAAATACCTCCACAGAAGGACCAAGGGAGATATTAGCCGATTTACCATTAAGCAATACACGCTCACACAACTTGATAGCTCTGTGAAGTTCCTTAAGATGTCCCCATTTTGGAAGTCTAGGTAATCCTGCGATTATATGATAAATTTATTAGTCAGTAAACTTTATAATTGATTGAAAGGACCTTTTTTATATAAAAATACAGTAGAGAGACTTGTGCATGAATTATATTACAAAATGAGAACTTTAGTTTAGGTCACTTACCATACTCATCTATCGGGGCATCATAGTCATAACTTGTTGTGATGAATGGACCACCTGCTGTACGCCCAAAATTTGTTCCTCCATGATACTAACCCACAGGGATGATACAAGAGGTCAGCATAAGAGCAAAGTAAACTAACAAATGGCATATCATTATAAAGGTGTTTTTAATGGTATCTCCTGGTACAACAAAATGTTTAGTACCTACAAACAATTTAAAATAAAAAATAAAATAATATCATCAGTACCATGTAATAATTATGTACACTTCCGCCTTTCTGGAAGAAACGAGCAACAGAAAATGCAACATCTTCTGGTGGCCTGTGAGGATCTCTTCCCCCGAAAGTTTTAAACCTTTAAATAGTAGAAAATCCCAGCACAGAAGAACATTAAACGTGAGATACATTCCCTATTGCAAGATCAAAAGCAAATAACTGGGGAAAAAAGAAGGGAAAAGAAAAACATCCTCGCAATTTAGGTTCTAAATAAACTGAAAAGGCTAAATTTTCAGAACTTCTACAAATTTATCATTTGCTTACGTCTAATCTACTAGATGCACTTAGTGTATCTTCTAGCCTTTTGCAGAAGCAGAGGGTTAAAATCCATGAACTATTTTTTCAATGGTAACACACTCAAATTTGGCAATTTCTAAAACTAGTTTAAAATGGTATAAGATGGAACTAGTTACAGAAGTCCTCATAGACCTAATCCCATCAGAAGTTCCTATAGAAAAAAACCAGTTCAAAAATGTGGTTAGTTGGTTCAAAACTACTTCAAAACTAATTCTAATATTGGAGTTCATTATATATGTTCCCCAAACACTTAAGCATTTAAGTGAATGACACACTAATGGTTTATACATTATATCTCCGACATATCCCTCACGCAAGAGCCATTTGGTTAGTTTGGCTCAAAACTACTTCAAAATAATTCTAATATTAAATTTATTTGTATAAATGTGAAAGATTGTATTACTTAAATTCAGAAAACTTGGCATGCTTATTGACCATTGGATGAATGATTGATCCCTTCTACTATATCTCATCTGCAAAGTTTTATATATCTCTAACACGCCCCCTCACATGAGAGTCCATTGGGCTAGAAGGGTGGATAATGCACAAGCCCACCTACTTGTGCTAAGAAAATTCCACAAGAGAAAGTGGGGGTGATGAGGATCGAACCTGTGACACGAGACTGGAAAAAATTGGACTAGAAAAAAAAAACCAACTTTGAGTTTTAACCTTTTAAAACTAGTTTTGCCTCATTTAGTTTAGATAAGAACTAGTTTCTTAAAATTAAGGAGATAAACAAATACCTACATATAAAAACCAGCTCCACTATACCTAAATATGTGATTTTTGAAAGTTTCCAAACACCCTCGAATATTTAGCAATAAAATAATTTTCAGCCTTACATGATACATAATTTGATGAACCTAATATTCGCTTATAATTGTTAGCAGACATTCACCATACACTCATGACAGATACATTATCACACAGTGAAATGAACTTTCTGATACAAAATATGAAGATGGATTACAGGGAGCAAAGGTTGAAAGCGAATTCTACATACCATCCAGGCCAGTTCTCAGTCCAAATTTTGGGCCTATTTGGAGATGTAGGAGTAAATTGGTCACAATAGAATGAGTTACAAGTATCTATCTGCAGCAGAATCAAGAATGGTCAGGTTATCATCTAAATATGACCAGCTGCATAGACATTTAAAAGAAAATGAAAAAGAAAACCATTATTCTTATAAATAGCAATAATAATAATTATTATTATAATAAATAACTTTGGAGCACGGGCAGGATGAGTCTCAAAAGCCTTATTTAATGATTCAAGATAATGTATATAAGTATATTATGACTTTTCCCACTTATGATTGGAAACTTTCAATATCTTCTAGTAACAAGCACTCTAAGAAATTATAATCTTACCACAGGATCTGGAGCATCCCATTGTTGGCACATTATCCAAGGGACGCCCGTGTTTTGAGAAACAGCCATTTTTGCAGCCCACATGGCATATTTCTTACCTTCCTCTTTATAATAGTTTTCATAGTATCCATATTCATTTTCTATCTGCAATATTGTGAAGATGCAAAATCAAGTCATCGGATCAGATATGCTTTAAGGACAAATTAGACAAGCATATTGAAGAAAAGCTACCCAAAAATAGCTGTTTGTATGAAAACCCAAGTGAAAAACCTCTGTGACCTTTAGTGCCCACCCCTACATACACACAAAGGCACTGAGAACAAATTGAAATGTCTAAGGTTATACTTGCCTGGGCTAAGATTATTGGACCCCCTTGAGAAGAAAAAAGCTTCTCTTGCTTCATAAGGTTCACTATGTATGTTGTAAATTTCTGCATATGATACTGAACCCCAAGGAAAAGCCAACAAAGTGAGAGTGATCACAGTTATTTTACTGCAAATAAATAAATGAAGATGGCATTTGAACACTAGTATGAGTTACAATTCAAAGTCCTACTCACATACCATAAAAGGCTGATTGTAAGTCCGGAAAACTGTGCCTGGAATATAATGCAGCCATACCGGTACACCGCTGTAACATACAGCCATGGTTAAGAATTATGAAAGCACAATCAACCTTATAGAAGAGGTTAACATGAATTAATTCCTCCATGGTACACCAATGTAACTTAAAGACAATAATTACACACCCAAAATTCCATTCTGCAGCAACAAAAGGGCCTATTCGAAGAATCAAGTACATCCCAGCCTGCTGAACAATCTTCACAAACTTGACAAGATCGAACCGTCCTCCAAAGTAATACTACAAGAACACAATTTCAAGTGGGAGATACAAAGTCTTAAAAATTTTATTCCGCACTACATAATAACTGTAGTAGCATCTTACAATTAACAAGTACTGCATCTAAATTGCTTAATCTTACTCACATTGTCTGGAGAAAGCTCATGGCCATTCCAGAAAACATAGGTTTCGATCACATCTGCACCTCCTTCCTTCGCTGTTTGAACAAGACCAGGCCACATCTGCCACACAAACACATTACTTATCACAACCCCAAAAATCAAAACAAAATATAATAAAAGAAAAAAAGAGCATTAGATTTTAGGAATAAGGATCCAAAGTTCTCAACTACAAAGTACAAAGTTTAAAAGACCCACAAAGCTGAGTTCAATGAAAAGTTTGGTTTTAATTAAAAACAAAGAAAAAGACAAAGTTTTCTGAGGAATCAAAAGCAAAGCTACACGTTTTAGTTGGTGGGGGTGGTGGCGGTGGTTTCTTACCGCGGGAACGCTTCGAGGGTAATGAATGGAAGCAGAGATAAGAAGCTTCCGTTGGCCATCAATGATGAGAGAGCGACCATCATAGGTGACGTTTCCAGCAAAGGACAATGTGAAGGAAACTGATAACAAAAACAACAACAACAAAAGGAAACAGAGCTTCATTTTGCTCTGATTCTGAGCTTTAGATATCTACAACGTTTCGGTGTGTGTTTGGCTTTAAAATAGTTGAAGCCAGCTAGCTATTAGAGTTAAGCTCGGTAACTAAGTAAGAAACAGAACATGTGTTAAAACGTGTTTTGTTACAGTTCACCGAAACAAAACCTTGATGGAGACCCACATATTAATTTGAGTTGAGCAACTGTTTATTTTTAAACCATGAGTAATGAAAATGTCACTGTCGTGGCTGATGAGATATAATTTATTACGGGTGTGCCAAAATGAGGAGAGATTTATTACCGTGATGCGAACAGATTTACACGGTTTCTCCAATTGATAATTGATTGAAGTTCATGACTTTGGACTCACACAAACCTAAATGGATCATGTGAAAAAAAAAAAACATGGTGACGTGGGAATTAACGGTTTCTAAAAATGAATAAATGGATATGATTTTGTAATTCTCCATTTATTTATTTTTCTTTTTTTTATTATCACTAATATAATCATCTATTTTTTTATGATTATGAATGTTAACTTGATTATATTATATTTATTTATTTTTAACATGAGAGGGTCGGATCCAGATCTTAAATGGACTGACTTGACGATATTGTATTTATTATTTTACTTTTTAACTCTTCTAAATTGGTAATAAATCCTCCAAAAGATTGTGCCGTAGTCTTAAATTGGTAATAAATCCTCTCAAATCCCATTAACATGATTGTAACAGGTTAAATTAGCTAATTACATTCTTCTAATAAAAAAACTAATTAATTATTTCTATTCCTAAGGTAATAAACAAGTAAATAGATTATGTAAATCTAATTGGGACAGAAACCTGATCCTGATTTGGATTGATTAGTGTCAACAGGCAGGAGCAGTGGGGTAATGACCGTATGTGCCCCATTAATTTATCATGGATCCATCGTATCTCTGTTTTTCAACAACCTGACCAATGTTGTGGCAACTCACACCGCACCCACGTTACTCTTCTAAAACAACCAAACATTATTTTTTTATTCACGTTTGTGCAAACTTCGAAGATATCATAAACTATACTATATTTCTATCTATCTACGTTTATATGTTTTATATATAGTCTTAAATGGATTCTATTATATTAATTACTAAATAATACTCCTTTAAATTAAAATTTTCAATTCCCAATTCTATTGACAAGAGAAGTCAAATGAGATTTTTCAATACAAGCAGAGATCCAAAGAATCAATCCCGATTAGCACTTTAGCAGAGGTTTCAAGAAAAATACTTTCGTAATAAACAATTTATTATAATGGGTACAAGCCATGTTAAATGTTCCCATTTCCCAGCCCAGAAAGGAATCAGATTCTGTATATATATATGTATGCTGTACGTGTGTGTTTTCTCTTTTCCTTTATAATATTAAGCAGAGGAGGGGAATGATAGTTTAGAAAAGTTTTCTTGTAAATTTGTAACTGAGACAGTGTTCAAGGAGATATCAAGAGGGTTCCCACCACCTTCCTCCAGCAAAACCAAAACGTTTCCAGAGTCTTTAAGGAAAGACCGAGGCACGTGATACCTGTTGCAACATAATACATAGCATTAATTAGTATCTGAACGTCACCATTGTAGTTAAAAAAAATTTCCATATATATATGTGGACATAATCAATTTACACCAATGTTAATTTTAACTGTTAATTTTTATCCATCAAATGACCGTAGTTAGTAGGATTATTCTTATTAATTAATTATTAATTTCTAAGAAATTATAACTATCAGAAATCGAAAATCAACTATTAAGATTAAATGTAAGATTTCTTATTTTTACGCTGATGCAAGAAGATCTTACCCCATATATGAATTTATTGTTTGTCCTGTGACTGGACATAAGGTTTTGTCTTGTCGTCCCCTTATAATTATGTACTTTGAGGAATATATAATTATAAGATTAAAAAAAAAAATTCTCTCTCTTTATAAACTTGTAGGCTGACATGGAGAGTAAAAAAAAGTAATTTTAATATTATAATTATGTATTCCCCATAATATGTAGTTATAACTTATAAGAGAGTGATTGAACAAAACTATATATCATGTGACTCGACACCAGATGAATCACACACACACATATATATATATATATGATCTTTTAACTCTGGTGTCAAATTCTGAAATTTGACATCAAATCCTAACCTTTGATTTCTGTCAATCAATGGTTACATTTATTGGAAATTAAACTTATTAGTTAATATTAATTTTCAATAAATGATTACCTTTAATTGGCGGAAATCAACAGATAAGATTTTGTGTCAAATTTTAAAATTTGACATTAGTGTCAAAGAATACTATCTCATATATATATATATATATATATATATATATATATATATATATATATATAGTAGGGCTTTGCATGTCTGCTGTTGCTACAGAATTTTATTGGATACAGCAGACACAAGCAAATGGATCCCACTTGCTTTTTTTTTTTTTTAAAAAAAGCACATCAAGATACAGAATCATCTCCTAGTGTTGCTGAAAAAAAATAAAAAATTGCAGTGACAAGAGAGTTATAAAACCCTATGTAAACATAGAAACTAATGGTGCCTAGGTGGGTTAACTTACAGTGATTGGGAAGGCTCGCCTTTGGAATTATGAAACAAGATCCAATAGCGACCAATGCTTTGTCCATTTACCCAAGCCTCACCTTTTCCCATCGAGCTAAGGTCCAAGGCAACCGGGTCATCTCCCTCAGGTGTGTCAAATGTAGTCTATATACCAATTCAAATTGTCATTATCACAATTAAACCAATTTAACATAAAAACTTAAAGGTTTTAAACGAAGGTACATTAATTTTTATATGTTTTATATTATATTTATGTAACATATCCTTCACACAAAGAGTTTTTTGAATTTGATCTATTTATTTGTGTTAAAAACTTCACAATAAAAAATAGAACTGGTGACCAAAAATAAGAGCTTATCAATTCAAAAGCTTAAACTATTAAGTGATGATAAATAAACGATTTTATATTTTATATTATATTTATGTAAGAGCTTCTCTGCCATCTTCCTTTAATTACAAAAGCTTTAATGTTAGCTATTGTACTTTCAGAGAAAGGAAAATAGTAACATTAGGATCACAGTCACAGCTTCCTGAATCATTTTACCTTGTACCAAATGAGCGTCTGATTGTTAATATTCCCTAGTTGATTCCATTCAATATCACTGCTATTTTGCTCTTTATATACTTCTAATTGCTCCCCCAGCAATCCAACCTGTAGTGCATGTGATGGATGAAAAAAATTGACACACACATACACGAGCTACGTGCGTAATATAATGAAAAAATTTGACGGTTAAACATAACTTGAATAATAGGCAACCTAACGATGTCAATAGGTAGAAACAAAAATGGAGAAGAGAAAACCTGATATCCCCATATAGAATTGGTCAAATTAAGAGACTCTTCTTCGCTGCAACGAAGTTCCACACTGATTAAACCAGCAAATCTTCTTTCAAGAAATGCCCCTGAATCCTTTTAACAAACATAATCTCTCTTAAATACTACAAAGCAAAGGAAAAATATGTCACATATTATAATCGACTTCTTAAGAAAGTTACCGGAAGTCCAACCATAACGCTGAGAATAGAAAGATTGTTTGTCCCTTCATTCACTGTAACCGGGAGCTCTAAGGTGAATGACTTCACATCATGATTTCCATGTACGGCTCCTAGCAGATTTAATCATTAACCATTCAAGGTAACTTCTTTACAAACTTCAAACTTTGGATTATATTATTTTATGTACCTATGTATGTGTTGTTCACAAAAGCATGGGCAACATGAGCAGCAGACTGAACATGAAGTATTGGTTCGCTGCATGATAAATTATATTCAAACCTGTTCAAAAAATTAATAACTTCAGTTATTTGTTCAAAATTTATGAACAGCACTAACGTGATGTAAGACTAAAATAGATAGTAAGGAATGACCGATATGTTTAACATATTTTTTATAGGGTTATATTTATCTTATGTGGTAGAAAAATGGTTATGTCATGTTATAGAAATAAAATTACAAGTGATATCCGCATGTAAAAGCACAAAGAAAACATAAATGTGGGACCTACTTCCACTTCATGTGTATAGGAAACTTATTTATCTTATGCAACATAAGATAAATATAACACTTTTATATAAGAAGTAAAATCAGAGAGATAACTAACCTAAGAGTATACCAAAGGTAATCCGATTTATCTTTGGTTGTATTCATTTGCTCAAGTAATGAGTTTGATCTTAGCGAGGTCTCATCAAAGTTTGGAATGACATCTTGAAATTGCTCCCAATCATCCACTGAGCTGAAGTTTTGTCTAGGACTTATGATCCTTCTGTTGCTTGTCGTATTTACCTGTGCATAAATATATATAAAAAGACTAAGTGAAAAAATAAAAATAAAAAAATCACTAGATTTGATACATATATGTTTTGATACTGTCGAAGTTATAACTTACATTTGCAGTATTGAAAGTCACTTTTTGACAATCTGGTAAGATACTTATTGACTTAGGGAGCAATTCGTATGATATGTTGCGGAATTGAACAGTAACCTTACTCCCTCTATCATTGTTTATAAGGAATGCAACACATTCTCCTTTTTCTTCTTCAAAAACATAACCCTGAACAAAATGAAACCAAAACCTATCGAATATTTGAATTCCATTCAATGAAAACAAACCTGTTGGAGAAAAAAAAATGGGAGAGCATTCACCTCCTGCAGTGGACCTAAAGAGAAATTCCTCTGCACTCCTTGCAATAGTGTGGTAGAGCAAAACTTGATTGCAGCATGCAACTCCTTTAGATGTCCCCACTTGGGTTGCCTGAACAAGCCTAATAAGAAGATTTGCAAATTTTAAACTTCAAATGAGGTGAGGTAAGAAAATAATTATTGTTGTACACTTACCATATTCATCAAGTGGGGCTTGATCATAATAGGCTGTTATAACATAAGCAGAGCCCGTTCTCCCAAAATTAGTTCCACCATGGTACTAAGTCAATTTGCAAACAATGTTAATTAGATGAATATACTGCAAGATTAATTAAGATTTATTGAAAAGAGTTTCTTTGGAAGACACAAAATGTATAGAGTGAAAATCTCGAACATAAGTTAATTGGTATATTTCATATTTGTATGCAAATAAAATAAGCTTAATTAATTTGTTATGTCTAGTTCTAGCAACAGAGGACTATGGAGGGACCCTATCAAATCGAAAGAGTTTAAAGAGTAACAATACCATATAATAGTTGACATAGCTTCCATTTCTGGCAATAAAAAGAGTGACATGAAATGCAATGTCTTCGGCAGACCTTATGTATGGCAATCCTCCATACACTTGATAGCTACAAGCGAAAACGAAAAGAAAACAGTTAATTATGTTAAAATAATAATAATCTCCTCGATAGATATAAATTAGTAGTGACAGAGTTATGAGTAAAACGTCACTTTGGTTCTCCAAAATTCAATTTATATAGTTATATTTTTAAAACCTAACAATAAAATCCCTGAAATATTAGTTTTGGTTTCTGAAAATTTTTACTTATTTTACATTAGTTTTGGTTAACAAAAACAGATCTAACTTAATACCGAGACAAACTTGTTGCCTGTTTTAAGGGTGCCTGCAAAGTAATTTTTCCTGTTTGGTATGCCAGCAATGTTATTTTCCGGTGGGGAGTATTTAGTTTAGCAGAACTGCTTTTATATTTTTTTTTATTTTTTTATTAAGTACCGTAGACCCATGAGAAATTTATTAATATTATTTTAAGGGTTAAGGGCTTTATGCCTGAGATGACGTCACATGAAACAATCCATGAGTTCCCCAGGGAGGATCTGTAGAACTTGAAGCGGGAAATACAAAATAAAATAAAATAAAAAAATTAATGAGTTCCTCAAGGGAGATTCCCGAAACTCATTAAAAAATTTAAAAAAAATATATATATATATATATATATAAAAGCAGTTCCGCTGGCCAGTTAGTGAACTAAATGTCCCACCACTAGAAAATAACTTCGGGGATGTGCCAAATATGTAAAATATATATGAAAATGCCTCCAAATAATCAAATAGTCCTAATTTGCTTAACAAAATATTTTAAGGACTTGATATTTGATTTAAGAATCCAATGACAAATGTGAAATAGGTGGAGTTATGGAAGACAAAATCAATATTTGATATCAACCCAATGAACCGGTCACGACCCACGATTCAACCAGTGTTATGTTAAATTTTGTAAAATATGTACATTTTGCAAATAACGAAATTCAAATTTGAGTCCCCTTGTTTGAAAATTGAAAGGCTCACCTCTGAATCACTTTTATTTATTAGACATAATGATCATAATTTAATATTTATTATATATTATTTTGAAATTCGATTGAACTTGATTGAACCACTGATCTAATGACCTAATATCTGTAGCAAGGTGATGACCAGATCGAATTTTAAAACATTGACAATTATAGTGATGAGGTAACAATCAATTGAAAAAAAAAAAAAAAAAGTAGCAGTTGCACATTCTCATGCCACATACCTCTCACATTTTGGTTTCTCAAGAATGAATAATGGGAACTGAGGAACTTACAAAGATGTCCAATTCTCGGTCCATAATGCAGGCTTATTGGGGGAGTTTGGTCCGGTAAAAGTTTCTCCGCATCTCATGCCATTGCATGTATTGATCTGCATGAATAGAAAAACTCATAAAAAGTAAAAGAAAAGTAATCTACCAAGAAATTATTGAGAAACCTTCCAAGCCAATCCCATAAATATAATCTATGGCTCAAATGAGTTTTTAGTGTGTTTACGTTAATTCATACATTTTAAATTCATTCATCTGTACATTAATTTACTAATTACATTTAACAGCAACTTGATAAAATCTATTTCATATGTAATGATTTAACAGGATAATTTAGATGAAAACTCATCATTTTAATAATGTTATATATATAATTAATAAATTCAAGGACTTAAATAAATATAAAAAGATTAATGACTAAACTTAATTAAAATTGAGTCATTATCTAAAATTTTAAATTTATAAACAAGGGCCGTGGTGTAAGTAGAGCTAACCACAGGATCAGGAGCATCAGTTTGCTTGCACATAATCCATGGCACCCCAGTCTGAAGGCCCACGGCCATTTTTGCAGCCCATTGAACATACCGTGATCCTGCTGTGCCAAACGCCTTTTGGATGTTTTGATATTCATTCTCAACCTATATTATTTGACCCATAATTAGCATTCAATGAGAGAGAGGGGGAACGAATCCATTAAATTAAACTAAATAATTGGATGAATATAAGTCATAATGTACCTGCGACAATATAATTGGGCCTCCTTGCGAAGCATATAATTCCTCTGCTTTCATCATGTTGACAATTTTGGTCGTAAAATTTTGCATGTGGAACTAAACATTGTAGTGGAAAATAAATAAAGAAAATAATAGTCTCATGTTATATAAGAAAGTTATTTCATGCCAATTTTTTTTTTTTAAATTGTGGATCCCACATATTTGTATCACCCCACATAAAAGTATTATCTCATGTAACACGAGATTAGTAAACACCAATAAATAAATAAATAAACACGTTAGTATGTAATGTAGTGAGGCGAACAGCGTGCTAGCTCCATATATATTACATACCTTGAATGGCTCGTTGTCTGTTCGGTAGACAATGGCAGGGACATCATGTAACCAAAATGGGAATCCCCTACAAGTTCAGGATTATCAGTTAGAGGTACCAATTTTTGGGTTAGTAATTGGGAACAATTTACATTTTTATAAGTTAGGAAGGGAAAGTACCCATATGTCCATTCACTCTCGATGAAAGGTCCAATCCTGAGGCAAACATATAGCCCTTGAGCTTGGATTTCCTTTATGAATCTCACCAAGTCATATCGGTCGCTGAAATCATACTGTTTTATGCATTTACATCATAATTAAATTATACTAAAGAATCAATTGACCCCAAAAATTTAAACGCATTGCATCAGGTTCAACCTACTTATGCTAAGAAATTTTACAAAGAAAATAGGAGCGATGAGGATCGAACCCAGGATATCAAAATTCTAATACTATGTAAAGAACCAATTCAATCCAAAAGTTTAAACTGATAGGTGATGGTCTCTTAATGATTTATATTATACTTTAACAATTTAAAATATGTACATATACTTGTATACTATGAAGCACTGACACTTCAAAAATCTTGACGTGTCGTGTCCGACACTTCTTAACACTCACCGATACTCCGACACTTCCCGACACTCCAATATTTGTTGCAAAGACTCACAAAAGGTTCAAAGGTTACATTGCGTTGCATTTTGAGTTTTAACTATTAGATTCGTTAGATTACGATTATGATTTTATTGAGTTTAATATAAATGTTTGTGATATCTTATGTTTCTTTGCAAAATTGATGGGTATTATAAGTTTAACTTTATTTTTTTGTTAAATTATTGAATACTAAATATAATATACACTACATAAATTAAAAATATTATATAATATCAAAACGTGTCCTAACGTGTCGAAATTTAACATTTTTTAGAATTAACGTGTCGGAGTATCGTGTCGTGTCGTATCCCGTGTCCCGTATCGGTGTCGGTGCAACATAACTTGTATATAAGATGATGCTTCAACAGTATTATAGAAGTAAATCTAAGCACATTTATTGTATTAAAGAATATTTTTATGAAATTATATTTTTATATATATGATATGAGATAATGAGAAATGAGAAATAGAAATACCTCTCCAGGCTGAGGCTCATGTAGATTCCAAAACACATAGGTCTGAATAACGTCCACTCCTCCTTGTTTTGCTTTCGCTATCAAATCTGGCCACATCTGCACCAAGGGTTTAATTTTATCAATATTCCTTATCTTCCTCTGTCTTTTTCTTTCTTTTTTCTTGTCATTTACCCTTTAAGCAAGTAATGGGTAACCGTTAAGTCTACTCGTGAGTCGTGACCAACTTACGAATGGTTACTTGCTTATTCACTAATACACCCTATGTTCAGCATAAAATATTCAATCTCATTTTATCACTAGGTACTTAGTGTACCCATGTGTAAAAGTGATAATTAATCACTTCTAATTGAGGTTATTATGAAGATAATTTTTACACACGACCAAGCTTGGTCTCTTGTGAGCTATATGCTAATGCACTTACGGTTGGGATCGGTTCACACTCCCAAATGATTGCGATTGTGAACCCAATAAAACTTGACTAACCAACCGAAAAGTTTGATGAGGAAACTTCCTTTTGTCACATATTCATTCATACCCGTGATGTAACAGTTTAGGATCCGTTTAATTTAAATTTTGATAGAATCAATCTTGAAAAAAAATTAAAGTTGGAAGAAGCATTTTTGCAATAATTGATGTTACAGAATTTAATTTTGTAGTATTAAAGGTAGTGCATGCTAGCTACAACACAGCTGGGTTAGTTGAAGAAAAAGGGCATTTTTAATTAAATACCCGCGTCAGCCGGTACTAGTAATATACATTATTGGCAGAGAAACAGAGTGTACGAGATTTCTGTCTGTAGTTGAGAAGAAAATAAATCTTACATTTAGATGGTAGAGATAGGGATGAAAATTTTTATTAAAAAAAGTTATATTTAAGAGTTTTATAAATGAAAGGATTTTCATAAAATTAAAAATGTGGGAAAATGTTGAATATTTAAATAGTAAAATTACTATTTAATCTTTCGTTTCCTTATTTGTTTAGGGGAAAAGGATATACTTATCATTAAAAAAGTTTACCACCTTCACAACCAAACTAGTCACCGTTGATTTCTGTCAATCTAACAGTTAATTTATTATAAATTATTGAGTCACATTTATTAATTAATTATTAATTTTTAAAAATTATAACCATTAGATTGACGGAAATCAACGGTGATTAAATTGGTTGTAAATGTGGTAGACTTTTTTAGTGGTAAGTATATCCCGCCTCTTTCTTTATTATCTTTTTCTTCCGACGACGTTAAGGTGAAAATGGCAAATAACATAATGCAATTATAGCTCACATGTTTGAAGCTGAACCGGGTGCTTTAAGTTACCACCTTACCTACCCCGGGAAATGCAAAGAAAGTATGAACTTCTGTTTCACAAATGGAATATATACCCGCTGCTAGCTATACTTCTGTTCTGTGTTTTCTAACGACAATTTATAATTAATAAAGTGACATTAATTAATCAATTAGTTCATGACTTGTTCAGACGCAAGAACTCAACAATGTGGCTTCATGTTCACATCTCCATAAAGCCCTTAACTTTAGGCCAAATGTTATCAGAAATCAAGCCTTTATGGAATTTGCTTATAGATGAAGACATTCAGTTCATCCCCTAGAGAAACATAAATGCAGAAAAAAGTTTGAAATGTGCCTATAGATTATGTCATTGAGACATCTCATCCTCTCATGGATAAATTAAGATGGGTATTGAAAATCAGAGACTATTAAGACATGAAAGAATGACACTTTGGTATCGAACATCATTATTGCATATTTATAGTTTAATTATTACCTGAGGGGTGCTGCGAGGATAATGAATTGAACCGGAGAAGAGAATCTTCCTCTGTCCATCAATGATAAGAGATCTTCCATCGTATGTCACATCTGCTTTAACACTAAAACTTACCATTATTTTCAACGACACCAACATCATCACGAAAGCCAGCCACTTATCCATCTCCTCTAACTCTGCATATATCTTAGCTCTTTAGCTCTCTTTATCTTCCTTTCAGACCTTCACTATATATATTTATATGACAAATATGCGGCTAGTACAAAATCTTTTATAAGGTGCTAGCGTGGCCCAATAAAACAGAAAACAAATTAAGCAATGCTAGCTAGAGGGAGAAACTATAGAGACATGTGAGAGTCACAATTGAAGTGGGTGACCAGAAATATTGTAAGGGTGGGAGTGGGACTAGTTTTATTTTCCATGCGCCACCGAATTTCGGAATCTTATTCAGTGGGATAGCACTTGCCAACAAGGAACCACACGAGGAACAGCTGCAACAGTTCCTTATGCAAAATGCAAACCAATAATAGATAGATATATATACACACACTTTAACAAAAGTCACTTTTCCACTATTTTCATTTCATTTTTGTGCGCTATATTCTTAGTTTTTACCAATAATGTGATGCCTGTAGATATGCAATTTGATGTTATTCTACTTGTTTTCATTTCTTCATAGTAATATGTGATTGGCGTTGTCCCTTTTGTTGTAACTATTGTAGGCGGCAACCCATTATTCTTGTTTTTGACGTAGCTATGTTGCGCTTGGAGTTGAAAGGTTATTATTTAGTGTCCCCTCATATTTAACATAATACCAAAATAGTGTAAATTTGTAGCCCGTGACCGCCCGCTAAAGCCCAAAAGATTGTGTGCCAAATTGGATAATTGATCGAATGTCAATAATAAGATTCGGATATCAAACCATATTTTCTTGCAGACTCACAGGTGAAGAAATCACTTTCTCACAATCAATAATAATAAATTGATAAAATAATGACATGTATGTTTCCAAAAATAAAAGTAATGACATGTAATATAGAGTCAAATGTATATGAATAAATTAATTTTAAAGCAATAGTAAGAATTTTTTTATTTTTGGAAATCACAAGTATCTTGCATAGGAGACAATCCTATTCGGAGAGGGTCCATAATTAAGGTTTTAAAATCTTTTCAAAAATGATATTAAAGGATCGAAAATATGCTCTCATCGCTTATCTGCTCAGTTCACGTGTACCAAGTGAGTTAGAATCATTTTGGTCAATAATAAGAATATTCGATGCGAGTAAATGTTTTTCCATGTGGACCAATTTGAGTAGACCAATGCTTTCCCATGTCCAATTAGAGAAGTTGGCTACTGGAGTCTGGTCCTATATAAATACTCAATCTGGGCCTCACGTGATGAGACTAAGCCCAAGTTGAAGGCTTATAAAGCCCAATCACGATTAGAATCCATGGGGTACCGCACACAATTTCACACGTGGTAAATGCGCATGTTCGGTCGGTCCACTATTTTTTGAAAACTAACCAAAACAGGCCGAAGCACAGTTGAAGGCTTATCAGACTCATTTTGATTTTCTGTCTAGTGTTCCCAATGGGTTGGGACCTTTGTTACAAAAAGATGCTAATGTTGTGTAGCTCCTTCTCTGTGTTTTGGGCTTAGACCCCTTCTAATTACTAAAAAACTAGAATTAAAAAGGACAGGATATATTTATGTGATAAAATCATACAGATTTATATATTTTTCTTTTAGGAAAACTTTTTTAATTTTTTCATAGAAGTAATGTATTTAAAATTTATGAAAAGTAAAAAAAAAAAAATTACTTAAATTTGTCATATATATTCACGTGTGCAAAAACGGTCAACCTAGGAATATGTTATGGTGACAAAATAAGTAGGACGTAACATGATAAAACTAATGATATATCGTACATTATATGGATTTTTCAAATTTGATAATTTTTTAAGAAAGAAATATTAAATAAAAAGCATTAATTATATTATATTTAAAATTAAAAAATGTGTTTTTTTTCGGCCGACACTGCAGATAAGTTATCTGCACTAAACCCAATGCGATATCGTTTTGAGGCGAAAATTATGGTGTTTTGTAATTTTAATTTATTTCAGGATTATTAAAGTCTTTATAATTATAATTTTTAAATTTTTCAAGTCCAAAACGACGTGATTTTGATAGTAAATGTTGATAACTTATATGGAATAGAAATACTTTTCTTTAAAAAATTAAATGAAAATAACTAAACACACATGTTGAAATTTAACAGGTAAAATTCAATGAATTACATCACGTTGTCCAGTTGAACTACTCATAAATTTTATTAAAAATAAAAAACTGCAAAATAGTACAATTGAACGTGAAGAACCAAGACTTCGAGGCTTTCTAGTCTATAGATATTTTTAAATTTTATATAACAAGGAAATTTTACACATTTAGAAATTAAATAATGAGAAAAAAATGATTTATGTTGTAATCACAAACTGATACATACATAATAAATAAGAAAAATTATTTTTCCATTTCACAAATATAATATTTTTAGGGATTTACTAATCTCATGATACATGAGATAGTACTCTCATGTAAGTGATAAAAATATGTGAGGCCCACAATTTAAAAAAAAAATTGACACAAAATTTTATAAATGTATAACATGAGATAGGTGTCTTATCCACAATTTCCCATATTTTTATGCTCCATTCACCTCAAAAGATGAGTCATTTTTTTAAAAAAATAAAATAAAATAATGCGACTCTCTTTATTTGTGTCACGACTCTCACCTACAATAAGATATGAATTCTCGCCAACGAGCCAAATAAATAAATGATAAGGGGTGAAAAGTAAAGTTTTCGCAATTCAGAAGGTAGAATTTTTTAAATTATTTTATATTAAAAGATGATAACATATTTTTATTGCATGAATTTAAAGATACATAGGGCAAACAAGCAGCAGCCATATTGCCATTGGCCACACATATATAGTATACAAAACACTCCCAAAGCGGTGCAGGTGCAGCCCCCTCTGCCTCTGCCCTCGGCACCCAAATTCGAACAACAAACAAAACACAAACACTATAATAATCTCCACTATTGGTTATTATTATAGTGTTAAGCAAGCCTTTCCTGGATTTTCACGTGGAACCCACCTTCCATTTGGGACGTCAAGAACGAAACGAAGTTAGGCTCCACCCCTTCCGCAACCGTCGGCACCACCTTGAACTGCCTGAGGATACCAGCCACCACCCTCTGCATCTGCATAAAAGCCATTTCCTTCCCCAAGCAAATCCTGGGACCCGCCTGAAAGACTGGATAACTGAACGAATCTCTCGCAACGAACTTCAACTTTCCCGAATCACCAACCTTCTCTAACCACCTCTCGGGCCGAAACTCCGCCCAATCATTACCCCAAATACTCTCTAACCTCCCCATCGCGTACACGCTATAAAACACCACCATCCCCTTCTTCACCACCGTCCCGTCCGGCAACACGTCATCCTCAATCGCTTGCTTGCTGTCCATCGGCACCGGCGGGTACAGCCTCATGCTCTCGCACAACGCAGCGTGTGTGTAAACCATATCCTTCACTTCATCGTACGCTGGGGTTTCCGATTTTTCCATTATCTCTTTCACAATCTCGTTCTCCACACGCGGGTTCTTCGACAGCAGCCAGAAAAACCAAGTTAACGCCGCTGACGTCGTGTCTTTTCCGGCCAGTATGAAGCTTATGACAATGTATGTGACGAATTCCTCGTCGGAATGACCCGAACTCAAGAACCGCGACAGCATGTCAACCGATTCAAGTGAGGACTTCTCCTCCAGCTCGCGCTTCTTTCCTCTCACTATGTTCTTCGCGAATTCATGTACTTCTGAAACTGCAATACGCAGTCGTTTTTCAGATCCTATGTTGAGCTTTCTCTTGATTTTCCAGATTAACTCTGACGGTTCGCGGAACCGTTTGCTGCTGATCATGGTCGCCTCCTCGAAAGCTAGCGCGAACTTGCTCCGTTCAACGGACGGTGCAAGGTATTTTGGGTCGAACCCGAACGCGATTTTGCAAATGTTGTCGAACGTGAATCGTTGGAGGATGTCTTGGAAATTGAGGGTTTTTTGGTCTTGGGATGCTGAAGTGAGTATGGGGATGAGCCGGTTGGAGAGCTCGGTGTCGACAACGTGTTCGACGAATTTCCGCAGAGAGTTTGTGTTGAATTCGTGGCTGGCGACTTGTCTCTGAAACTTCCAGTTGTCGCCGTTGGTGTTGAAGATTCCGGTTCCGAGGAAATCGGAGAGGGTTTCGAGAAAGATGTGGCCCTTTTGGTAAATGGAGAAACGGGTCTTGAGAATGTGCTGTACGATGGCGGGGTTGCCGGTGATGACTTGCCGGCGGCCCAAGGGGCGGTGGAGGGTGAAGGTGGCAGCAGGTGAGATTTGGACTATATCAGATAACCATTGGATGTTGGTGTTTTCGTTTGCTTTGATGGCTAAGTACGAACCAATGAGTGGGTATGCTTTTGGTGCTTTCTTCGCCGAAGATGGTTTGAGGAAGAGGAAAAAGATTAGCACTGGGAGGATGAATAGGAAGAACAAAGGATGCAACAGCATGTGAATCATTGTGGTAAGTTCAAAGAGAGTGAAGCAGGTTACAATAATTGCTAATAGTAGATGTTAGGTTGTTATTTTCAACGATAAAGGAAGTGTAGATATATATACTTAATATACATGGACTATGGTCTCCTACTCTCCTTAGTATAATGCATTACGTTCGATCATAATCTACGCAAGCAAAGTGGTCACTTTTTAAAAAATACTTTTTCACTTTTTAAATTGGGAAGAGTACCTGTTGTTTGTGTCATTTTAAAGGACTTAAAATTATATCATTTTTAGTGAAAGAAAAAAAATAAATAATGTGAGAGAGAGTAGACAAAAAAGGTTAAAAGTGTGGATTTCATCTTTTATAAGAGTAAAATAACACAAATTATGTTAATTAAAAGGACAAACATTTTCTTCTTTTAAATTATACAACTAATAGTAATTTGCAGCCGCCGTGTTATAAAATTCGATCAATTGGCCCGGTTTGGAAACTGATAAATTAGTCCGATTTTTATATTGTTAATCGGACATGTAATAAAATCAGTATACACGGGTGATTTGGTCCG